GGGGGGGACACACAACCCCACGTCAAGGCGGTGAGGACCCCCGGGGTAGAGAGACTGAGAGAGGGGGGGTTGTTCAGCCTGGAGAAGAGGAGGCTCCGGGGAGACCTTATAGAGGCCTTTCAATACCTGAAGGTGCCTATAGAAGAGCTGGGGAGGGACTCTTTGCCAGGAAGGGTAATGATAGGACAAGGGGAAACGGGTTTAAATTGGAAGAAAAAAGATTCAGGTTAGATCTCAGGAAGAAATTTTTGACTCTGAGGGGGGTGAGACACTGGAACAGGTTGCCCAGGGAAGTTGTGGATGCTCCATCCCTGGAGGGGTTCAAGAGACGGGTTGATGTGGTGCTGGGAGGTCTGGTTTAGTGATGATGCTCCTTGTTTGTTGTGGGGGTGTCTATTTTTGTCAGTGAGGTTGACGGTTGGACAAGATGATCTTGAAGGTCCCTTCCAACCTAGAAGATTCTGTGATTCTGTGATTCTTTTCAGTGGTTCCCAGTGAGAGGACGAGGGGCAACGGGCACAAGTTGGACCAGAAGAGGTTCCACTCAAAGAAACTTCTTCACGGTGAGGGTGGCAGAGCCCTGGAAGAGGCTGCCCAGGGAGGGTGTGGAGTCCCCTTCCTTGGAGATTTTCAAGACCCTCCTGGATGCTCCTGAGTAACGTGCTCTGACAAGCTCTGGGCAATCCTGCTTCAGCAGGGGAGTTGGACTAGATGATCTCTATGGTCCCTTCCAACTCTAAAATCCAGTGAAATTCAGTGAACCTGTCCCAAACTCCCAAAGATTCCAGCCACTCACCCAGGAAATACCAGGCGAGGAAGCGCAGGGAGATCATCCTCTTCCTCGGGATGTGGAACAGGTAGACGGTGTCGATCACTTGGTCTTTGGGCACCTGGAAAGCAGAGAGGGTCCTACTGACAGGGCTGGGAGGGGAGAGGGGGGGTTCCACCCCCCTCAAGACCCCCGGGCTGAGGGAAGGGAGGGTTTGGGGTTGTCACCATCAGGTTGATGACACGGAAGTCCTTCTGCAGCCCGTGGCCCACGAACTTGACCCCCACGTCGATGAGGAAGCGCAGCTTCAGGTAGGTGGATTTGAGAGTTGTGAGGTGCTTGGAGGAGATCTTGGCGTCCAGGTCTCCTGGTTTGATCCCCGAGTACTGGGTCAGGTAATCCACCACCTGCAGAGAACGGGGGGGGCCGTGGAGGAGGGCTGGGGGGGCAGCTGGGGGGGTCTGCACCCTCCCAGCACCCCAGAGAGGGGGATGGCCCTTCTGCAGGTGCCCCTCCACGCAGGAGGAGGCAGAATGGGGTCTGTGTCCTCCCTGGGGGGGCTGCTGGGGGGGTCTGCCCCCTCCCTGGGGTGCTCCCTGAGGTGCTGGGAGGGGACTGTCCCTTCTGCGGGTGCCCCTCCACGCAGGAGTGGGGTCTGTGTCCTCCCTGGGGGGGCAGCTGGGGGGGTCTGCCCCCTCCCAGCACCCCATGGAGGGGACTGTCCCTTCTGCAGGTGCCCCTCCACGCAGGAGTGGGGTCTGTGTCCTCCCTGGGGGGGCAGCTGGGGGGGTCTGCCCCCTCCCAGCACCCCATGGAGGGGACTGTCCCTTCTGCAGGTGCCCCTCCACGCAGGAGTGGGGTCTGTGTCCTCCCTGGGGGGGCAGCTGGGGGGGTCTGCCCCCTCCCAGCACCCCATGGAGGGGACTGTCCCTTCTGCAGGTGCCCCTCCACGCAGGAGTGGGGTCTGTGTCCTCCCTGGGGGGGCAGCTGGGGGGGTCTGCCCCCTCCCAGCACCCCATGGAGGGGACTGTCCCTTCTGCAGGTGCCCCTCCACGCAGGAGTGGGGTCTGTGTCCTCCCTGGGGGGGCAGCTGGGGGGGTCTGCCCCCTCCCAGCACCCCATGGAGGGGACTGTCCCTTCTGCAGGTGCCCCTCCACGCAGGAGTGGGGTCTGTGTCCTCCCTGGGGGGGCAGCTGGGGGGGTCTGCCCCCTCCCAGCACCCCATGGAGGGGACTGTCCCTTCTGCAGGTGCCCCTCCACGCAGGAGTGGGGTCTGTGTCCTCCCTGGGGGGGCAGCTGGGGGGGTCTGCCCCCTCCCAGCACCCCATGGAGGGGACTGTCCCTTCTGCAGGTGCCCCTCCACGCAGGAGTGGGGTCTGTGTCCTCCCTGGGGGGGTGGCTGCGTGAGGTTTTGGGGGGAGCCCCCCTACCTGCTCCTGGGTGGAGATGTAATCATCGATGAAGGGGACGCCCTCGTTAGGGCCCTGCCCTCTCACGCACGTGATCCTGGCCACCGACATCTGGCTGGGCTTGATGGTGGATTTGGTCCCGTCGCTGCGCAGCTCGGCTTCCTCCTGCGGCGGAGCGAGAGGAAAACAGGGTGACCCACAGCTCCCACCCTCCCCAGGGACCACGGGGGGCACCCAGAGGGGCTGCCCTGAATCCCCAGCCCCCCCAAATCCCCCACTGCAAGGAGGCCTGACCTCGTTCAGGGTGACAAACTCAGCGTCCAGCCCCACCAGGTCGCCCGCCTGCGGCATCTCGCTCAGCATGAGGGGGATGAAGGTGGCGTGGCACTTGCGTTGCTTACGAGCCAGGGAGGCCTCTGCCAGCAGCACGCTGGCCTCGATGGGGTTCTTGACTTGTTTGGGGGTGGGGGGGGGAAAAAGTGGAAAAGAGGAAGGGGAGATCAGCCACCAGCTGCTGGCCCCGTGGCCACTTCCACCCCAAACACTCACTGACGAGGTTGTACTTGGCGTTGAGGTTCCTCCGGGCGTAGTAGAGGATGGCGGGCACCTTCCAGCTCATGTCGAACTGCACTGCCTCACACTGCAGGGGAAAAGGGGGGGGGACAGTGGAGGGGGGGCAGAAAATACCCCCCGTCCCTCCAGGGGGGTGTCCCTGCACCCACGGTGTCACCTCGTTGCGCTCACCTTGTCCACGGGCTCGATG